TACAGCTGGTAAAGAACCTCCCTCTAGATATTGGATTACCTCAGCCCATACAGGATCTTTTTCTTGCTCTGCACGAAGAACCTCTGGATCATTAGACTCAAGTTGACTGGCTGCTGCAACAGTTGCAATGGCTGCCCTTGAAACCATATCAGGGACGTGGTGAACAGCCCCTTGGCGATATTTTATTTCATAATCATAATGCTGTAGATCAACACTCCATCTAGACATCTGCCTACTTTTGGTTTTCCTAGAGAACACATAAGTAAGTGGTTTATGATCTATAGATGATGAACTTCTTCCCATATACATATGGATCAAAAGCTCGAACTGATTCAACCACGGCCAATGCTTCACTATCAGTGGCACTGTAGCGAACTTCAGCACCTCTCATTTTCCTACTGAAATAAGCTATAGCATGCGGAACACCTTCACAGTCTCTCTGCATAAGACATGCACCAATTGCGACCTTAGAAGCATCAACATGAATTTCAAATGGACGGTTGTAGTCAGGATTACGAAGCACAGGTGCTGATACAAGAGCAGACTTAAGTTCTTCAAAGGCTTTTTGACTCGTATCAGACCAAGAAAATTTGACGTTCTTACGAGTCAGGTTAGTGAGTGGAGCGGCAATCTTTGCAAAGTTAGAAATATGACGTCGAAAAAATCCAGCAGCCCCTAAAAATCGTCTAACTCCCTTAGCATCTCTGGGTCTAGACATCTCACTAATTGCTCGAACTTTTTCGGGGTCAGGTGCAATACCATCTTGTGAACAAACAAAACCTAAAAATTTAAATTCCCGAACTGCTATCTGGCACTTAGAGGGATTAAGTCGAAGACCAGCATTATGTACCAACTCCAGAGTCTCTTGCAGATGAACAAGGTGTTCGTTCATATTATTACTGAAAACTACAATATCATCAAGGTATGCTGCAGTATGCCGCCCTAGTACTGATGATAACACCATGTTAATTGTTCTCTGAAATGTCTGAGGAGCAGTCCGCAATCCATAAGGCATTCTCCGAAACTGCCAAACACGGGCACCGTCGCTAAACGCCGTCTTGGGTCGATCAGACTCTTCAACAGGTATCGCCCAATATGCACTACGTGCATCTAAAGAAGTAAATATTTTTGAGTCACTTAAATCATCGAGCATCTGTTGAATAGGTGGAAGTGGATACGAGTCTGCAGTTGTAAGTGCATTAATTGTTCTAAAATCAACACAGAATCTGACAGAACCATTGGGTTTCCGAACAAGCACTACAGGTGAGAGCCAAGGACTGGTGGAAGGCTCTATGACACCTGCAGAAGCCATTGAATCACACTGCTCCCTAATTATTTGGCGACTGGTATGAGGAAGTCTCCATTGGCGAGTTACTGTTGGTTCTGCATTCCCTGTAGGTATACGATGAGTAACATTTGGCACTGTGCCTACCTCCATAGTGTCTTGACTGAAGAGCTTTGGAAACTTACTCAGCAAATCCTTAACACATGATCGGTCATTAGCTTTCAGGTGACTTAGCGATGGCAAGGTCTCTTCATTGGCACTGACGGGTGCTGGCAAATTGGTAAGGGCTGATGTGGTAACAGAAAACACGTCTTTGGCTGCTGACGACTCATCAAGGATGGGAGTGACATCTGGTGGCCCTTCAGGTAGGTCATCAAAGGTCAAGTCATCGAAAATATGAAACTCGTCAGGCTTATATCCAAAGTCCATTTCACCATAAAAATGATCGAAATCGTCATTTAAGTCGAAAGTATGATCTTCAATATCTGAACCAAGCATACTACGAGATTCGACATGTTCAGCAAATCCTTCAGCAACAACAGATCTTTTAAATTTATCACCCGAAAACGCATTATTTTCCGACGCCGCATGTGATGTGATGGTGTTAGATTCACACGAAGTTCCTGCAACTGCAACATCTGCATCCACAATTTGATGACTGGCCTCTTCAACAACATCATGAAGTACAGCAAGCAAGGTTCCACAGCGCAAGCGTATACGATGTGAACCAAAATTAACTGCCCATACCGACAAAAATCCATCTTGAGGTGAAACAAGAGAACGAGGTATGGTGACAACATCTGTAGCAGATAAAATTAACACATTTTTCGATTTCTCGAGTGATGACGGTACTCGTATAGAAACGAAAACACCTGAGTGTGGAGGAATGTTCATTGTTCGAGGAGCATGAGCTTTTATCACTTCATCAGCTGGAAGTTGAAGTTCTTTAATAGCAGTCACTGCAACATGAGGTGGAGTGTGATGCCTGATAACACGAACCTGCAATCCATGGTGGTCGGTGAATACGACCGGGAAGCGAATGCCATTGAGTATTAAATAAGCATTGCGAGAATAGTGACTGGCAACGAATTTAAAGTTAAGCCTGCGTAATAAATCCATCCCTATCAGAACATCACCTGGAAAATTAATATTCTCTACAATGCACACACGATGAGAAAATGATTTGTCAGCAGAAAGTTCAAACCGAACGTCATGCTCTGAAATAACCTGAAGGTCTGTCCCTGTCACTCCTGAAAGTTGTCGTCGAGCTTCATGATAGTGTTTCAGAGGGATCTTTGCCTGTGTATAAGACTTAATTAAAGTGGCCTCACTCCCAGTATCAAGCAAACACCAAGAATTCACCCCATTAATGTTGATCTGAACCATCGGTCGTCCTCGTCCACTGTCCTTGACTGGTGTTACCTGGATCTTTGTTGCATTCGGCTGTTTTATTTCGTTCCGGGCTTCGGCTGCCTTGTTCGTTATTACGAAAGGGACAGTTTCTCCTGACATGTCCTCTCCCTTTGCAAGACCAACATTCACTGCCTTGTGGTTTCATCTTGCAGTCTCGTGTGAGGTGTCCTGTATGTCTGTGGTAAGCACAGTAAGGCTCATCACTTCGGCTGGAAGCAGCTACATGGAAAGGCGACGGTTCTTCTCGGTAATGTCGATCTTGATTGTTGTCCGAGGAATATGCAACAAATCGCTGAGATGGTCTCGGAGGTCGTGCATGTTGACGAGCAGTCCAGCATCGTTGAGCGGCAGCAACTAAATCTTCTACGAAGTCTTGATCTCTGACAGAAACTGCTTCCTGCAACCAAGATGGAAGCCCTTGCAGAAACGTACGACGAACGAGTTCTTCTGTCGGCCCTAACGAACGAGCATAATCACGTGCCCCTGCAAGAACAGCTCCTTGAACCTCCTGGTAGAGATCTTGAGGTGACTGGTGATCTCTCAGCCTCTTCTTGGAGAGTAAGGAAAGAAACTCGGCAGCACTGGCGGTACCCCCAAACTTCCGTTTGATTGTAGCCCTAAAATCTGACCAAGACGTGATGTCATCAAATAATTCCGAGTTGATAATAAGTTCGGCATCACCTGAGCATCGCGTGCGTGCAGCAGTGATTCGCCCTGCATCCGTGTTCGGTCGCGCCAACAGCTCGATCTGCCGCAGCCAGGTGTTCACTTCGTTATTTCGTTGCAGAGGAAGAGACGCAGGTGTTTTTGCAGAGAATATCGGGATCGGTTCCTGGCGCTCAGAGATGACAATCGGCTGCACAGAAGTCTGTTCAGACTGTTCACGCAAAACATATTTCGAGGAGATGGCGTAGGTGGTGTAGCACGATGATTGTGGTTGTTGCAGTTGATTACTGTAGAGTCTATGCTGCGCACTTCAACTTCACAGTGTTCGCCGCCTGTGTGCAGATCGTTGAAATCACGTCGATTCGAGTGAGCTGCTTCAAAACGACTGGAGTGACGATAAATATCGTTACGTCTCTCGGCATTCTGACGGTAAAATCCCCTCTGTTCAGCATTACGATAACTTGTTTCTCGCTGCTCCTGCTCTCTCAACTGCTGTGCTTGGCGTTCCCTCTCTCGTCGCTCGTTATCCCGCAGTTCAGCTTCCCGTTCTTCCCGTTCTTCCCGTTCACGGCGCTCAGCGTCCCTCTCTTCGCGCACTGCACGTAACTCAGCTTCTAACTTGGCGCTACGCTCACCTTGCTGTTGCAACTCCAGGCGCACCTCCGCAAGCTGCGCTACAAGGCGATCCAACACCACCGGCAGCGGCGACTCGGGCGTCTCGGGAATGTCCTCGGCTTCTTCGCCAGTTCCCCTGCGATAATTCGTCTTGGGTGGCATTTCGTATTGCAATATATGTACAGGAAAAGAAAATTAAACGAAGAAGTGACCTATGTGCTAAAACAAGACGCTAAACAAACCGTAACAACACGAAGCAGAAGATTCACTGAGCAACACTTACAACGAACAATGTTCACCGCGAAACCACGTTAAAATCGATACATCACAGCAGCAACACTAATAAACGACTAACAACATCGCCAAACAACTGCATTAAACAAACACGAAAAGCATCACCAATAAAAAATAATAATCGAGTGAACACTAATAAACAACCATACGAATATAGCTCACGTAATTTGCAAGCAACCAAAAGCAAACAAGAAAACTGTTACAGTAATGAAATATATATACATAACGTAAACACATTAATTGAAATAAATGGGGTCTGCATTAGGCCTGCTCTTAATGACAAACAACTACAGGTATAATTCTCACAAAAAATAAACCGCTCTGGATACTGCGAACTTAAATCACAAGACAAACAAAAACCGCTCTTACGAATCCCCAAGCTAGCCACCAAATTATGCTGTAGCGTCTCACTAACAAGGGCGCCCAGCTTGTACGTAGTTAAAACAAAGCGTGACGTGTGGTAGCGCGAGCATCACTCATTTACTGGGGCAAATAGTTATGTTAACTACATTATTTAAAACTTTAGTACAAGTTAGATTACTGTTTGATTCATGGTGGATAGGATGGATATTCCTAAGGCATAAAATAAAATATATACATTTAAAACATACGCTTTATTTAAAAAGAAATAATAAAACACGAAGCAATAAAAAAAAGACCGTCCACGTTACAATAAAACCCATGAAAATCAACAGAGTATCCAGCCTAAACTTATGATTCCTGAATCCTAAAATTCCTCACTTGTACTTATCTTAGGCGACCGGAGGTTGAGGTGGGCCGATTCACAGTGGGGGTTTTTGTAATGACAAACAACCGGTTCTCGAAAATCAACAGTCCAGAGCGGCGCTTTCAGAACAAAGGTAGGCTGCAGAATCCCCTGTGGGAAACTAGCGCTGGCTATTTACGTGGGTGTGGGGGATTGTGGGTACTTCAAATGAGAATCAGGGGATGCGCACTGGACATTTTAAAAACAATTTGACATACTGTAGATCTGAATTTTGTATCTATATCGTGGACAGATAATGGAAATAAAACAGAATTAAATCAAGAAATAACGTAGTTCGGCATTTCTTCTGCGTGGCATACGGCAACAGGCATCCTTGAACATCTCGGTGGCGCCAAACGTTCGGATGCCGCTCGGATGGTCATTTGACGTGGAGGCTGCAATCCAGGTCACTACAATATCACTAAGGCAAGCAAAAAAAGGAGAAATTACCTCCAAGCAAATAAAAACAACAACCATAGTGTAATAAATCATGAAACAAAGTAACTAGTGTTCGATCTGTTCATGACACTGATAGGAATATTTGTACAATGGTTTTTGAAATATTAATGAAGTAAAAGTTTAGAGTTTCAGACAGTATCACTCCCGAGTTGTCGCTGCGGCCCTTTTTGTCAGAATTTGTTTACTGAATGAATACTTCTATGGGTTCTGGAGAAAAGACTATCGTTGTTGCTTCTTCCTTTATTCTCCATAATTGATGAATACAATTTCTACATCTTCTTCCATATCCGTACTCATACGTAAGACTACAAACAAAACAATGTGGAACTTCGGACATTATGTAGTATAAGGTAGTGGCAGAGTTGGGTAATAAAGCCTACATGAAATGATAGAAATTTTCGTTGTGATCAGACAATAAATAAAAGCTCAAAAAAATAAAAACCGAAAACAAAAAAACTCTTATTCACAGATAATGGAAGGAGCTACGATCTTGAAAAAAAAAATCATATATACTTACATACCCAAGACTTTGTTGCAACCAGATTTGTCAATTTCCTCATACTTTTTGAGAAA